AGAGGTGCCGGTTCGGCAGAGACGTCGGGTTTTAAAGTTGAAGCTGCTCGCCGTGACGGTCCGTCCCCACGGACTCTCGGGGAGAGCCAAGGACGGGATCGGTTTCCCCCGCAGCTCCGGAAGGCGTCTTTGAATTTCTGCTGACGGGTCACTGATCACCGGTGTCATCTCACTCCGCTCTCACTCCGCCGGGCAGCCGAGGGCTCCAGACGCGTTTTTAGACGAAGTTCCTGAGCCGCCGGTCGGCTGTCGGTGTTCACCGTAAGTCAGTAACGCAGAGCGGGGTTGAGTGGGGTTCAGTGGGGTTCAGTGCAGCCCGGTTGTTGGCGAAGCATCAGATCTCCCAGCTGTCGGAGTTCTTCCAGGAGCGACAGGGCAGGCTGCTCTCCTCTCTGTCTTTTCGTGTTTGTTAAATGCGAAAAAGGCGGATTCCTAATGCAAGGACTTGTACAGGGCTGATAAAGTGACCTGATCTTAAATTAAATCGGGGGACGGAGGGTCACGTCATCCCCCTTCAGGCGCTCGGGCGTCCCGGCAGAGCCCCTCGCGCTGCTGCTGCGGCTCCGCTCCGATTAGCTGAGCCGTGAGTCACGGCGCGCGCTGTCGCCCGGCGTTAGCGTGATGCGAGGGGCTCGCGCCCTCGTCAGCTAATTGATTTAATTGAATCTTTTCAGCGCATCGTTTGCCGGCATTGAACGTGTAAAAGCTGTATTTTTCATAGTCCTGGTTCAGGGGCGCCGGTCGGTTTTGTTGGACTCGTTGCTCCCGGTTTGGAGGGGCAGAAGTGGGGAGACTCCTCTACGTGCCGGGAAAAGGTTGGGGTGCGATTAGAGACAGACTGACGGCCGAGAGCCAGCCCGGGGGGCTCACTGGGGGAGTATGGGTCTCCGTCTCTGGTGCGGGATTCTGGCGCCGGTCCTGCTGGCTGGCTCGGTGTGGGGGGAGGGTCTGGCCCCCAGGGCAGCACTAACGCCCCCCTCTCCTCCCTCCCCAGGTGCTCGGGGCCCGAGCCGGAGTGGCCCCCACCCTCGCTGGCAGCGCGGACAGCGCCCCCCCGCCCGGCCCTCCC